CTAAGAAAAGAATTAAAGCTATCGTTGATCTTTACCACACAACCTCAAAAATGAATCTTCAACCCCTTGCTTGATAATTGTAGGTATCCCAACCAATTGATGAATATATGCCTTCAAATCCTAATTTAGAGTCGCAAATCTCAAGAATCTTTATATGAATTATGAACGTTGCTTCAAGAATGCGTCTTCAATGTCACGCCTGCTTTTGGAATGATTGAATCATACTTATTGACCTCAAATTAAGTCAAAAACCGAGCCGCCCCAATTGATAAAGAATTAATAATTGAATAGGATTAGAAAATCTAGATTTTTGGCTCGCGACTAATCGATCACACAGTTGTGGCTATTGCAATCTGAATAAATTTCAACCCTTGCAATCACAAGGGTAAATAACTTTTTAGGTTGTTGCAATTTAGTCCTTATTTCGATATCTTGTTCCGTTCACGTCATCCATATTGCATGGTAAGCTCTTTAGCATCCATTCTTAACAAATTGTCCGTAGATTCTAGATTTCGTCCATCTTCAATCCTTTTTATCAATTCTTGTTCGTTTCGTCCATTCTCGTTCAATACTGGATTTTCACCTAAAATAATCAATAAACAAAAAATTAAGTATCTAACCCATATCCCATAAGTCCACTTTTTGTCGCCCAAATAAGTGTATAAATCACACTTCTCAAGTGAAGTTTTGTCTAATAGGTTAAAGACAATTATCAAGTCACTTGTCTTCGTCTCTTCTTTCCAGTCCAAAGTAGTGATACAGACTTTAGTTCCTTTGTACCAAGTGAACTATATCAATAAAGACAATTTCTATATAGATATTCTTATAGATATATACATCTTAGAATGTCATATATATAAATACTAATATTTGTTATTTTGATTCAGTGGTTATATGTCTCCAGAGTATGCGTCATATGGGCAATTCTCGATAAAGTCAGATGTATTTAGTTTTGGAATTATCATGCTCGAGATAATCAGCGGAAAAAGAAATACGGGATTCTATGGGTCCACAGAAGCACTAAATCTTTTGGGTTACGTAAGTTTTTAAATTACCCAATTTATGTTAGAACATTTTAGCCAATTCACTATCTAAAAATATTTTGAAGCTATTCCTGCAGGCATGGAGATTGTGGAGTGAAAACAGGGCACTAGATTTACTGGACCCAATGATACTTGAATTTTGCAAAAAATCTGAAGTTGTCAAGTGCATAAATGTTGGGCTGTTGTGTGTGGAAGAAGATCCCATTGATCGACCTACCATGTCAAATGTAGTTTTGATGCTTAGCGGCGAAATGGCATTTCTTCCAGTCCCTAAACAACCAGCTTTTGCAATGAGAAAACATGTTTTTAGCGCATCGTCCTCTAATAAACCAGATCCAATCTCCAATGAGTTGACGATGTCTGTGCCACAAGGGCGATGAGGTCATTTCATTAGTGTTCATTTGAATGTTAACAGGCCTATTCTTTAATATACTGTGGAAACTGGGTTGTATAGAACTAAGGCAAGTAAGAAAACAATCTTTATATGCTCACCTTTTTTTTTTTTTTTTTTCAATTTTTTAAAATCTTTTGGGTATTGCTAAGATAGAAAACTGTCATACAGATTTTCTATTATTTATGATAAAAATAAACAGTGTAAAAATAGAAATAGAATTCATAATAAAGACGTAAGTACGGAGTAACTTATGATGCAAGATCCAACAAAAACAACTAACATTTATGTTATTTCAGGAAGATTAGAGAAGGGATTGTATGTGCGAAGGAAAATAGCTGCCGAAGTGTGAGGAAATGTAGAGAGAGAGAGAAGATATGTGCTTGCTGTTTTAGCTTTGTATAGAGAGAGGTTGAGAGAGTGATTAATGGTTGAAATTTACCCCGGCATAATAATTCCTAAGATGAATGTGTTGCTCAAATTCTTGGATTACTATAGAAACCTTTAAACCACCATAGAGTTGCATTTAGTGGTGAATTATAGCATCAATAGGGTCCTTCGAAGAGGACTGTACAAGTATATTCCACTCATCTATCCAAAGAAACATTATCTTAATAAAAGTTTGTATTTTTCTTTCAGGAAAAAAATTAAAAAATAAAATAACCACCATTACTATGATGTCTAGAGTCCTAGTAACCCAAGTGCTAAATGTACCATATATGTATGGATGGTATAAAGTGCCCAAACAGGAATTATTGAACACAGAACAACAAGTTTAGATAGAAAACACTTGTATTCTCTTTGATACAACTAAATTTCTAAAAGTTTGCGGCAAACGCTGTGGGTGGAAAATATGAGCCATTTGAAGAGAGATTTGTAATCAAGTATAGCACATTGGCTAGAGTTAAGCCAAAAGAAAGAGTCAAGCCTGCTTCATTCGAATTCCAAAAGAGTTATATCGAAAATAGAAAACTACAGGATCGGTCCTAGATTTTGGTCTATACGACCTCATAGTACAAAACTATGCGACCGCATAGTTATGCCAAAATGCTCACTTGAAGTCTCTGAATACTACTATGCGACCGCATATATTTTTAACTATGTGACTGCATAGTTCAAACATTTTTTTCGCTGGACAACTTTCAGTATTTTGGTTATAACTTTCTCTCAAAATCTTTGATTGAAGCGATTCAAAGTGTGTTGGGAAGCTAACTCAAAGATCTACAATTTTGATAGAAATAGACTTTCTCAAATTCTAATGTTTACTATGCCAAAATTGGGTCTAAATTAGAAACTAAAATTCCCAAGCATAACTTTTTTTGCCTGAAAGTTGATACTTGATAATACTTCGACCATATTTTACCTCTTTGACTCCTTTTCTCATCCGATTGACCTCTGACACTCTTGAATCTTCATTCCATCGCTGTCTCATCTATGGATTATTTGCAACTTGGTACCTAAACTTTCAGTTTCTTCAACTTTAGTCCGTTTTCCCTTGTTTCTTTTATTTTCATCATCCCATAATATCAACAAATTGGTACTTAGCTCATTCACTTCCTGGATTTGTCCTTCGGACCATCTTTTGGATAATTGTACTTTGGTCCCTGAACTTTTATTTTCTTTCATTTTGCTCCTTTTTTGAATCTTTTCTGATGAATTCCATCATATCCATTAATATAGCCCTATAATATGAAATTGCATAGAATTAAGTCATAATCAACAAATTTTATCAATAATTAGTCATGTTTTGTGGACCGAATAAGTGTGTAAAAATGCACTTATCAAACTCCCCAAACTTGAACTATTGTTTATCCTCAAACAAAATAGTGATTTAACTCTACACAAAACACGGCTTGACAACTTGTCGAGTCTCAGGGCTGGAATTCAGTAATAGACACAATGAACAGTTTCAATAATGCAAGAAGTAAATCAACCCTTATCTGTTGAATGCATACTCAACGTGTGTGTGTATGTTTTCTCATGCCAACATATTAAACTCATGATGGGTTAAACCCGACCCAAAGTAATATGATATATCCTTACCTCGCTCGAGAGATACACACCCCCCAACTTAGTCTTTTCACTCAATTATTTCGGGGTGTGTTCTAAATTTAGAAGTTTAAGTACCTACAGTCCTTATCCTCTCTTAGCTTGGATAGATCTCACTACTACAGATTTACATGTTAACAAGTAAAGGCTCTCCTGGTTTTGATCGCTTCGACCCTTGAGATTAAACTAAGTTACTAGCCTCACATTAAAGGTGTAGTTTCTTCAACCAAATGTCCAAGGGCCTCTTGATGTTATCGTATCTTTTCTCTATTACTTTCTAACGAGTTTTTATTTTTATTTTTTTAATTTTCTTATTTAATTTTTTGTTTTACGTCATCTTCTCATTTGCTTTTTGTATAACTCCTTTAGCAAGCTTTAGGCCGATGACTCCCAAACGAGTTGGCTTTAGGGCACCAGGTTTTGAACCATTGCAGGATTATTCACTCGAGTTATAAAGGCTCGATTAGATGACTTATTTTTATTCACCTCTTCTCCTCTTGCTTTCTATATGACTCATGTAACGAGTTTTGGGCCGAAGACTCTCAAACCAGTTGGCTTTAAGACAACAAATTTTTAAATATCCTTACAGGCTTACTTGCTCGAGTCGTAAAGACATGGAAAAAAGTGTTATTTTTGCACAAATTAGTTTATGATCCTTTTTGTTTTTCTAGACATTTAGTTTCCAAAACCAATCCTCAACTTAAGACTTTCACCTAATTTTCACTTTATTGGTCTAGGCAATCCATACAATATAATTTCATGCACGGAGCCTCAACCTATCTCCAAGTTCCCTTGTAATTGATCAACTATCTCCAAACAATCCTGAAATGGTTATTGGTCAACACAATAGAGGTTATTCTTGGTTTCTCCTACTTCATTCAAGAACCCAATCACTTATCAACATGTAAAGCATGAGTGTGTGCATAAGGGTTGTTAAGTACCACATCAACAAATTTCGGTTAATTGACTTCTGCATTATATCACAGTTTATAATATCTTTTCCAATAGTCTCATCATAGTCGATAAGGCTATGAAGCCCACACAAGCACACAAAACAAGAAATACAGTAAAATGAAGAACATATGCAAAAATATTTTTATAACACTCAACAAGCACACAAAATGCAACAATTAAGTAATTGATGGAATATGAATGGTACAAGGAAAATGGATGTCAANTAAAGACATAATTTTGCCCTCATTGTTGAAATAAAGTAGAAGTTCAAATACATATAATTGAGGGACAAAATAAACTGAAAGCATAAGAAATGGGATAACTAGTACTCCCCTGATCAGTATGGAGGTGGTCGAAAATCGGGACCTGCAATGCCATATGTGGAGCCAACCTTCTCTTTTCCTGTTGAGGTCTTTTTGGCGACATCCTACAAATGTGCAGAGTATGTGTATTATATCTTATGGTGATAATTGATAAACTTGGGTGTGCATGAAGGAATCCATGTGACGCACCATTCCCCCAAACTTGTTTCAAGGTGCATGTGTACACTGTTGACATGTAAGATGCATAAATTATGTCTCAATATAAAATTCATATCACAAAAATGTGAATCACCAACAAAGTTTAGCTCTAAACATGCACTTTGTTCAATTTGACCCATAACTAACTAAAATAGGACTTCAACCTTATAACCCGTGCTCAATGTATTGGGACTCTTGTGGATTGTGTTTAGGCTATTTATTGACATGCATGGACAAAAGATGACTTAAACTATAAAAAATGTTGAAAAATTGAAAAACTCCTAGACTAATGCAAAACAAAATAAATAAAGGGTAGAAACGTTGGGTTGCCTCCCAATCAGCGCTATTTTATAGTCGATAGTTCGCCTTTTGGTACAGGTATTTTATGGCACTTTAAATATGGCTTGAGAGGTCCTGCGTAGTTTGCCCAATATGGTCTTGTTCCGCACTGCAGTTATCCTCCGAATTTCATCCCTATCTTTATTCAACTGGTTTGACTTTCTCTCCTCATTTGTATGAAATCCCACATTGAATGCCTTAATCTCATTTGAATCGATAATAGCGGATGGAGAGTGTACTACACAAGCCTTAAGAATGTTTGGTTATATCTTCAACTCAAAATTATAGGGGATTCTTATGTTAACCACTTCAATATGGAAACAGCTTCCAGGCTCGTTGGGGGTATTTCATTGCCTTGAAAACATTAAAAGAGACTTGTTCCTCCCCCAGCCTCAAAGTTAATTGTTCTTGCTGCACATCTATGAGGGCTCTTGCAGTAGATAAAAATGGTCGTCCCAATATGATAGGCACGTCCTTGTCTTTTTCCATATCCAAAATCAAGAAGTCTACTGGGAATATGAGTCTATCCACTTTGACCAATACATCTTCAATAATCCCTCGTGGATGTGTAAGTGATCGATCAGCCAGCTGTAGAGTTACTGTGGTTACCTTAGGCTCTCTCAATTCTACTTTCCTGAAAGCAGAGAGTGGCATCAAGTTAATACTCGCACCTAGATCACACAATGCTTTATTAAAATAAAAATCACCAATTGTGCAAGGGACGGTGAAACTCCCTGGCTTTTTCTGGATCCTGGCGTTGCACTTTTCGGTTAACATCACTGTTTTATGTTCCTCTAGCTTGCGTTTATTTGTTAAGATGTCCTTTAAGAACTTGGCATAGTTGGGCATCTGGAGTAGAGCATCGACGAACGAGATGTTGATGTGGAGCTTTTTAAAGATTTCAAGAAATTTCTTATATGCTGCTCCATCTTGTGCTTTCTCAAACTCTGGGGAAATGGAATGGGCGTCTCATAAGGATTGACTGATATGGTTGCCTTATCCCATGGTGTCTCTGAACTCTTCTTTAATGTGGATTCACTTGTCTGCTCGTCTTGCTGTACAATCTCTTCTTCTATAGAGGGTGTTGTCTCATTGTTTACACTCGACCTCTCAATGCGTCTTTCGGGTAGTTGCATCCCACTTCGATTGTGATCACTTGAACATGCACCCTAGGATTTAACTCAGTATTGCTGCGTAAAGTATCTGGCGCTCTTCTTGTCATAGAAAGTACTATCTGTCCCATCTGCGTCTCCTGG